GACCGTCGGCGGCTGGTAGTTGATCCCGCACTTGAACCCCGTGGGGCACCAGTCCACAAACTGGATCGTGCGCTTCGTCTTGATGGTCGCCACGGCCGCGTTCACGTCCTTGGGCACCACGTCGCCGCGGTACATGAGGCACGCCGCCATGTACTTACCGTGGCGCGGGTCGCACTTGGCCATCATGGACGCCGGCTCGAAGCAGCTGTTGGTGATCTCCGCCACCGACAACTGCTCGTGGTACGCCTTCTCGGCCGAGATCACCGGCGCGTACGACGACAGCATAAAGTGGATGCGCGGGTACGGCACCAAGTTGGTCTGGAACTCGGTCACGTCCACGTTGAGCGACCCGTCGAAGCGGAGCGACGTCGTCAATGACGAGATCACTTGCGCGATCAAACGGTTCAAGTTGGTGTAGCTAGGGCGGTCAATGTCCAAGGAGCGCTTGCAAATGTCATAGATGGCTTCGTTGTCCAACATGATCGCTACATCCGTGTGCTCCAAGAGTCCGTGGGTCGCTAGCACCGAGTTGTACGGTTCCACGACAGCAGTCGACACCTGGGGGGACGGGTAGATGGTGAACCCGAGCTTGGACTTGCGGCCGTAGTCGACAGACAAGCGCTCCAAGAGCAAACTGCCCAACCCGGAGCCGGTGCCGCCGCCCACGGCGTTGAAGATCATAAACCCTTGCAGACCCGTGCAGTTGTCGGCGAGCTTGCGGATGCGGTCCAACACGACATCGACGACTTCCTTGCCGATGGTGTAATGACCGCGAGCGTAGTTGTTTGCCGCGTCTTCCTTGCCGGAAATGATTTGTTCGGGGTGGTACAATTGACGGTACGTGCCGGTGCGGATTTCGTCGCACACGCTCGGTTCCAAATCCACAAACACCGCTCGGGGCACATACTTGCCCGCGCCGGTCTCGGTGAAGAACGTCGTGAACGAATCGTTGCCGAGGCCGATGGTTTCGTCGGCGGGCATTTGCCCATCGGGTTGGATGCCATGTTCGAGGCAGTAAAGTTCCCAGCAAGAGTTCCCGAGCTGGACGCCGCCTTGGCCGAGATGGATGGACAGGATCTCACGCATGATGGTGTGCGAGCGTGCTGTTGGAGTTGTGGCAACCACGGAACCAGGGTTCAAACTTTGAAAGGGTTAAACCCTCAACTACCAACACTCTGACACCTTCAATTGCCTGCAGCCAATCCGAGCGCACCACATCAAGGATACCGATGTATGATTGGTGGAATAACTTGAAGTTGCTCCTCTCGAAAATGATACTAGTAAAGAAAAACCACCACGGCTGGCGGCGCACAATGGATTTGCGCCATGAGTGGCACTTGCCCCATAATCTCCTAGGATCTGCTTGGATGCCCCGCTCCAACGTCCTATCATAGTACCGATGGTATTGATCATTACTCGTCCACGCCCGTTTTCGCGCATGTTTCCTTTCACGTCGTCTCAAGAACCTTTGTGTACTTTCTTCAAAGTGCCGATACACAGTACATTACGTAGTACAGTGAACGGGGGAATTTAAGCCTCACTTCGAATTGGCATCGAGAAATATGATTGGTGGATGAACTACGAACTACGACAATTGCCTGCAGCCAATCTGAGCGCACCACATCAAGGATACCGATGTATGATTGGTGGAATAACTTGAAGTTGCTCCTCTCGAAAATGATACTAGTAACGAAAAACCACCACGGCTGGCGGCGCACAATGGATTTGCGCCATGAGTGGCACTTGCCCCATAATCTCCTAGGATCTGCTTGGATGCCCCGCTCTAACGTCCTATCATAGTACCGATGGTATTGATCATTACTCGTCCACGCCCGTTTTCGCGCATGTTTCCTTTCACGTCGTCTCAAGAACCTTTGTGTACTTTCTTCAAAGTGCCGATACACAGTACATTACGTAGTAGCAGTATGTGCTATACCTTCCGATTAAACTCTACAAATTCGCAAGGAACCTCGATAACGTTAGTTACCGTTATCCCTCTAGAGGATCTTCTTGCATGGCCTCGAACTCTCAAAGCCAGATGAGTCCAATCCCGACATGCACTTCCCATCCGATTCGCTGTGCTTGTCTCCACAGATACTCTAAACAACGCATTTGTATAGTATACCCAACCCAAGCTTCTATTATCGTCACCTACCGCCGCGCGTTTTCGGAAACAGCTTCAGCCAATCAAACTACTTTACCTACCCCTTATGGACTTTTGATTGGCTAATTTTCAAATTTCAAACTGACTGACGAATGGCACTGCCCTGCCCTTTCCCACTTTTTTATTGCCCGCGTCCATCACACCCGCTTACGCAGTAAATCACTCTCATCTCCATGTACGTCACTGCCGCCGCTACATTCGCCGCGACAATGCATGTCTCTCACCACCATCTACCCATGTAGCATGCGTGAAATCCTTTCCATCCATCTCGGCCAAGGCGGTATCCAAGTCGGTAACTCTTGCTGGGAACTGTACTGCCTCGAACACGGCATCCAACCCGATGGGCAAATGCCCTCGGACAAGACCATTGGTGGTGGAGACGACGCATTCAACACGTTTTTCAGCGAAACCGGTGCCGGCAAGCACGTCCCTCGCGCCGTCTTCGTCGATTTGGAACCGAGCGTGTGTGACGAAGTCCGCACCGGCACGTACCGTCAATTGTACCACCCCGAACAAATCATTTCCGGCAAGGAAGATGCTGCAAACAACTACGCCCGTGGTCATTACACCATCGGCAAGGAAGTCGTCGATATTGTGTTGGACCGCATCCGCAAGCTCGCCGACAACTGCACCGGTCTGCAAGGGTTTATGGTGTTTAACGCGGTTGGTGGTGGTACCGGCTCCGGGTTGGGCAGTTTGCTCTTGGAACGCTTGTCTGTCGACTACGGCCGCAAGTCCAAGCTCGGATTTACCATCTACCCGTCTCCCCAGGTGTCCACCGCTGTCGTGGAACCATACAACTCGGTGCTGTCCACACATTCCCTGTTGGAGCACACGGATGTAGCGATCATGTTGGACAACGAAGCCATCTATGACATTTGCAAGCGCTCCTTGGACATTGACCGCCCTAGCTACACCAACTTGAACCGTTTGATCGCGCAAGTGATCTCGTCATTGACGACGTCGCTCCGCTTCGACGGGTCGCTCAACGTGGACGTGACCGAGTTCCAGACCAACTTGGTGCCGTACCCGCGCATCCACTTTATGCTGTCGTCGTACGCGCCGGTGATCTCGGCCGAGAAGGCGTACCACGAGCAGTTGTCGGTGGCGGAGATCACCAACAGCTGCTTCGAGCCGGCGTCCATGATGGCCAAGTGCGACCCGCGCCACGGTAAGTACATGGCGGCGTGCCTCATGTACCGCGGCGACGTGGTGCCCAAGGACGTGAACGCGGCCGTGGCGACCATCAAGACGAAGCGCACGATCCAGTTTGTGGACTGGTGCCCCACGGGGTTCAAGTGCGGGATCAACTACCAGCCGCCGACGGTCGTGCCCGGCGGCGACTTGGCCCGTGTCCAGCGCGCGGTGGCCATGATCTCCAACACGAGCGCGATCGCCGAAGTGTTTTCGCGCATCGACCACAAGTTCGACTTGATGTACGCCAAGCGCGCGTTCGTGCACTGGTATGTGGGCGAAGGCATGGAAGAAGGCGAGTTTTCCGAAGCGCGTGAAGACTTGGCCGCGTTGGAGAAGGATTACGAAGAAGTGAGCGCCGAAACGCAAGAAGGCGATGGCGAAGACATGGAATACGGCGAAGAATACTAAGCGATGACGCTGATCAAAGTAGTTGATGTCCCTAATACACTCAACTTTGCTTGTTTGAATCCATTTGAAATGGTGTTGAAATGTGTTCTATAACAACCGGTAGTAAGGTTGATAAATGGTGTACAAAGCGATTAGTTAGCGTTGCGTCGTGCTTTTGTACTGCTCGACCACATCGAGTTCAATCCTACGCCCCAAACAACCAACATAACGGCGGGAACTGCTAGCCATGCCATGGTGGCATTCTTGGAGGGCAATGGAGTGTGTCGCCCACGAAACGCTTTTCGTTCGGTAAAGTCGATTGTGCGACGACCTATAGCGCTCGGAGCGACGGAAGATCGCTGGAGATGGTAGTCGGCTGTGGTCATGCGCTCCATGGCTTTGGCATTGGCCAAGAGGCGGTTCACGTCGTCCGAAGTCAGTCGTTTGTATCCGTCGTCCTTGACGACCCCCGTGATCGTTGGGTTCAACGTCGAGGCAAACGTCGACATGCCATAGTATTTCAGGTCGTACGCTGTCCGTGCATCCACGTCACCAAGAACATCGTAGGCTTCATTGACGTCTTGAAAGTACGAACTGTTGGACGCTTCATCTGTCGTCTACGGGATCACATGTTGGTGCTGGCATGAAGTAGCACCGTGTTGTTGGTACCTGTCCCAGCTTGCGATCGGGATGATGAAGCAAGGCGAGCTTACGGTACGCTTGTTTGATGTCTTCCATGGACGCATGGCTTTCCACGTTCAGGAGCTTGTAATAGTCCAGCTTGGTGGACTCTCCATTGCCGCCGCTCATAGTCCTTTTTTTCGACGATGGAGGGTGAAAAATGCATCGAAGTCCTGACAGTCAAGCCATCATGATCCGGATAATAATACAATCGGATTGGCTAGAATTCCGGCATGCGATTAAAGTATGCGTTTCTGCACCGTCCATCGATGTGGACTGTGTCTCACACGGTGTCATGACACCTACGGAGTGGCCTTTCGCCAATCACTACGACATTTGGCTCTTGCTTGATGATAGCCGCTGCCGCAATGTCCATCCAAAGTATAATCGTTGTGAATAAATATTACTTCGACGTATATATTTTCTAATAAATATTCTCCCTGCCGTGGGAAAGCACTAACTTACGGTATACTTCGAAGTAGTAAAATGTTGACCAGGCGGAATATTTCTGTCCATGTTTCAAGAAATTCCGAG